AGTTCACTGTTGCACATTGCATGCAGACAGATGACCCCAAGGCTGGCTCTTGATGACAGTTCAGGGCGCCCACATGGAAGGTCTCTTCTCAGCTTTCTCCCTGTTCATCACGACATAGAGAAGCGCTGCAGTGAGATGGTCTCCACTATTATGATTACAGAACATTTTAGATTCTTCCAATTTGATTTAGGAAGTGATTTCAGGAGACTCTTTTCAAAACAAAAGCTATCAAGAACTGCTTCTGAAATTGTAATTTGAGATTTTGTACAAAAGTTGATTTGGGCTCCAGAACTCCTAATAATGGTTCAACAAATCAGATGGACCTTCATATGGTTCCAGGCCGAAAGAGAAGGAAAGTACCACAGTTTTCTGTACACACAACTAAAGCTTTCGTGTCTCCTTCCCCTCGTCCCTCCCAGTCACCTCCCTTCCCTCCTCTCCACTCAACTGTTTACAGAAAGCGTAAAGAATCTGGGAGTCTCTTAGGCACTAGGGTGACAGCAGACAACACAAGTCCTGGTCTGCCCTAGAAGACATTTTAGTCAAGCAAGGAAGGGAGGAGTACACAATAATTTCCCAAGGAAGTGGTTAGAGAAACACACCAGGAACCTTGTAATGCGTGAGCATTCCCCCGAGTGCAGAAACCCAGGCAGCAGTTCACTGCCATGGGGCACCCAGAACCAGCGGCGCCAGGCCAGTACGGCTCCCTCGCAGCAGGCACTCTGCTCCTCTTCGCTCTTATTTCACATCTATTTCTAACACACTTGGGTGTCTTGTTTCCCAACCACGACTGCATATCAGGAAGCAGCAGATTTTGAAACTGCATGGCAAAGAGAGAGGAGAAAACAAGGCTAGAAAGTCATGCTGATGACAGCGAGGTTGGGAGATTCATGCCAGCTGAGCAGGTGCCACCTGTGAGATATTTTACACGATTCCAGATTCCTCTCAGCAGCTGTGGAAATTGAGTATTATCATCCCCATTTTTCATGATGGGAGACTGAGGCCCATGGAAGAGACTATGATTCGCAACTGTGTTTAAGAAAAAAGAAACCCCAAGGAAGGAAGGGTCATCCCAGGTAGATACGAGAACCACCATGACCGTGAGCATTCTGGAAGATTCAGGAAGGTTCAAGAAAATGAAGACTTCCCTGCACTGGGCTTGACAATTGGTATTGATCCAGTTTTCAGCCCAGGAACTCCCTATCCCTTGCCCTCGCCTCCTTTTCTTCCCCAGACACCCAGGTGCCCAGCACGTGGCATGGGCTGCTCTGGTGCTGGAGACACAGGGTTGGTAAGATGCAGTCTCCATCTTCGAGGATGGAGGCCCACTGATAGCTCTCTCCAGGTGAGGGGAGCACAGTGGAGGGTCAGGAACCACTGTGGCCACCCTAGCAATGGGGACAGGGGCATGGCTCTGAAGCCAGCAGCCTCCTTCACACTGGCAACAGACTGACACTCACACCAAAGCCTGGTTTTCATGCCAAGGACAAACTGCTCCAAAGGAAGGCAGCTGCCTACAATAAGTCATTTTAAGTGACAGTTCTAATTTTAGAGAAGCTTATTGTATGAGGCAGGACAAAAAAAAAAATCAGCACCAAAAAGAAATTTAGAAATAAATAAATAAATAAATAAATATTGTTCCATCCAACTTTAAGTGATTTTTTTTTTTTTTAAGATGGAGTCTTGCTCTGTCACCAAGGCTGGAGTGTAGTGGCTCAATCTTGGCTCACTGCAGCCTCTGCCTCCCAAGTTCTAGTGAGTCTCCTGCCTCAGCTTCTTGAGTAGCTAGGATTACAGGTGCATGCCATGATGCCTGGCTAATTTTTATATTTTTAGTAAAGATGGGGTTTCACCATGTTGGCCAGGCTGGTCTCAAACTTCTAACCTCAAATAATCCACCTGCCTCAGCCTCCCAAAGTGCTGGGATTACAGGCATGAGTCACTGCGCCCAGCCAACTTTAGAGTGCCTTCTAAAGTACAGGAAAACCGTTCATCAACTCTTCAGCATAAATATACTGAGCCATCTGTGATGATCGCTTGATATAAAGGTTCTCAGCTGGGGGCAATTGTGCTCCCATGGGAGCAAAGACTCCATGCCAAAGGGGGCAGTTTTGCTCCCATGCTGACTGCTGAACATCCAGAGCCATTTTCAGTGGTCACAGCTGGTGGGGCAGATGGTGCTACTGGTACCTAATGGAAAGAGGCCACGGAGGCTGCTGAATAGCCTAGGCACACAGCACAGCCCCTATGGCAATGAACTTTCCAGCTCAAACTGTAGATAGTTATGAGGCTGAGAAGTGCAAGTTTGGTACAAAGTTCCTGGGCGGGCAGTTCAGGGAGTGCAGCTGGCACCAGCAGGTGTGACTTTGTGTGTGCAGGTACTACCCCTGGGCCTTGGGCAAGGCCTGACCCTCTGAGAGCCACAAGTTCTTCATCTAGAAAATAGGCATGATGCCACCTGCCCTGTAGGCCTGTTTGGAGCTGGATTAAGATGACAAACACAGAGATGCCTGGCACTATTTACGGATGTCTCAAGTGACAGACCATGTCCCCAAACAGTGTCTGGGAGACTGAAGACAACACAGCAAGTCTTCCAAGGCGGCCAAAGTTTTGGGTCCATGTTAGTTCTCTTCGTCCCACGAATTTGGACGACAAGGCAGCAGGTGCAGAGGAAAGCTGGACCACAGCACGGCTGTGATGCTGGCATTCACCACTAAACAGCATGGGTCCCTCTGTATGTAACACGGAAAAAGACGTGTCCCATTGGCTGCCTGGGGACACAGGCTGAGTGACATGCATGACCTTGGGGCCAGAGAGCTGGGGCTCAAATCCTTTTTCTTTTCTTTTCTCCTTCTTTTTTTTTTTTAATATGGAGTCTTGCTCCGTAACTCAGGCCGGAGTGCAGTGGTATGATCTCAGCTCACTGCAACCTCTGCCTCCCAGGTTTGAGTGATTCTCCTGCCTCAGCCTCCCTAGTAGCTGGGACTACAGGTGCACATCACAATGCCCGGCTAATTTTTTGTATTTTTATTTGTATTTTTTAGTAGAGACAGGGTTTCACCATATTGGCCAGGCTGGTCTTGAACTCCTGACCTTGTGACCTGCCTACCTCAGCCTCCCAAAGTGTTAGGATTATAGGTGTGAGCCACCATGCCCAGCCTCAAATCCTTTTTCTACTATTCCTCGCTGTTTGACCTTGGAAAAGTGTCTCAATGTCTCTGTGCCTAAAAGTGGGGCTTAACTCACAGGGCGGCCATGGGGACAGCTCCTGGTCCACGCTGAGTGCTACATGCACGCGCACTTAATTAGGTTTACAGCCAAGTGGGTGGAGGCCAAGCAAGGGGGAGCAGCTGGCCTGGTTTCTCACTCCAGGTTTGTGTCCCACTGAGATGGGAAGTCAGGCCTTGGACTCTTGGACTCTTGGTCCAAAACTGCTCCAGGTCAGGCAAAGCAGGCTCAGCTGGAAATATCATTCCCGACTTAAAGACTGAAGATCAGCAGAGCAGTCTGAGGCTGGGGCCTGACGACTGCTGGCTTTGGGAGCAGCTGAGATTGTGTTTTCATCATGTGCTTAGGGAGTGGGCCTTGCAGGTACACCCTAGCAGAGTCTATGAAGTTTATGGCGGATGCAAATGGGAAAAGTATGCCCCTGTGGGAAGTGAATTCTGTTGAGCACTGTCATGGTTCCCAGTGTAACTGCCTCATTCACTACAGGCTCTGTATTCAGTCTTTAAGGCTTCAGGCGTCAGGTTTAAGAAGCGAAGCATTTCCCCTCTCTACTCTCCGGGAACAAGGAGCACCTCCTTAAGACTGTCCGGCACAACCTTGGTCTCATCAACAGGAAGAGACAGCAGGACTCTCCCAGGGTCACTCGGTTCATGGAAATAGAGCCACTGACCCAGGCGCCTGCTCAGTCTGCTGACTTCAACCAGACCAAGGAGGAAGGTAAAAGCAAAAAGCAAGGTGATCTCATTTCACTCCAGCGTTTCCGAAAATAGGAGGTGGAACGTTGTGCTTGTAGCTTTCTATGCTGCTGTTTTTCCTTCTCTGGACAGGAATGACTCCCCTTCACCTCACCTTCCCTAGACACCCCCAAACACTGTCCCTGCCCACCTTTGGGGTGCTGGGCTCATTGAGCTCATTTAGTATAAATACAAGCTTTCCTACCTGGGGCTCTTTGGAAGGGCACTGGCAGCTGCCTCTTCTCCCTCCCTCTGGGTTCAGCCAGTCTCCTCCCAAGGGACATGAGTGACCTCAGGGGCAGTTTGGATGCTTTATGCAAGAATCTCCTCTACACTCCCTGCTCAGCCAGCCTGTTTGCACACCTCCATAGATGGGGAGCTCACCACCCGTGGAGGCAACCCACTCCATCTGTCAGTAGCTAACAGTAAAGATCCAGACTCTGCCTCCCTAAGTGGAAATTCTGGCGGAATTTCTCCCAACCAGCAATTCCACCTTCTCATGCCCTCAACAGGGAGGAGACTGTGGTGAACATCCAAGCGTCTGGGAAACCTCATAGAGAGACCTCCTCTGACTTCTCTGCCTGCAGCAGCTCAGGCCCCAGAATGTTTCTTACTTAAAGCCTTGAGGTTTCTTTCAAGCCAAAGTTGTGAGGTGAAGACAGCCCAGCCAAGAGTACTTTTATTTAAATCATCTCAACGTCTCTCACTTCTGACTTCCTAATATCCATTTTTTAAAGAAATAGGATTTTTAGACATATCTAGGGACAAATAATCAGTGACAGCATTTATTGTGGGCAATCTCTGTGGCTAGCGACTGAACTGAACACTTCACATGGATTGTGCCTTTCCGTACTATGCTATCCCATTTTACAGATGAGGAAACTGAGGATCAATCAAGTTACAGGAATGTCCAACAGCACAGAGTCTGTGGTGATGACAGAGCTGAGATTTGAACCTGGGCATCCAGGGCCCAAGCCCTAAACCTCCCTACTGGTCCCTCCAGTCATGCAGGAATGCCCACCGGGCTCCAGGACTCACCGCATTGAGGCCACAGAGCTGGTAGCAGGCCATGGTGACGATCACGGTGACCACCTGCCAGCGGACATTGGGAGCTCTCAGCAGCTCCAGCACAGACACCAAGCGGATGTTCCTCTGCACGCGGCTGTCAGCCAGGACCTCTTCTACCTCTTGGGAAACGTCTGCTTTACCCAAGAACGTCTGGAAGGCTGCAAACAGGGGCATACATGGATTTTCAGCAGGGATTAGAGTGTTCACCATGTCTCATGCTGGGCCCTGCAGGGATAGGTCCCACCTCCCAGCCACATACCTTAGCAGGGGGTGGAACTTGGCAGGAGCCTTTGAACTATGGAGTCCAAAGCCCTTGTTTAAAAATGGGAAAACAGAGGCCCAGAGAGATGCCATGACTTGCCCAATGTTACCCAGCTGGCTGGGAGAAAAGCTGGGAGAGAATGTGAGTCTCCTGACTGCCTCCAATGCAAGGCAGAGCACACCCAGGGTTCAAATCCGTCTGTACCATTGGGCAGTTGTGCCCCTGTTCATCTTTTGTTATCATTCCTGCCTCCAATGGCTATTGTAATAATTGCGTGATATCATATACATGAAACCATGGCTGGGAGCTTCCCACACTGGGACTCGTTCGCTGAATACTCATTAAGTGCCTCCTGTTTGCCTGGCCCATGAGTCCATCCTCATCACAGGTGTCCTGAGAGCTGTGGCATGTCACTTGGCCAGGATGCCCTACAGTCCACTCCATCATGAAAAGAAGATTGAACTTAAAGACTGCATGGCCCTTTCCATGTGACTCTCAGAAATACAAGAAAACTTGAGCGGAAATAGTTCCAAAGAATGAATCTTCCCAGGATTCAAACCCATTTGATTTACGCCTTTCTCATGTTGAACACTGCTAACTTCCCCCTTCAGAAAACCTCTTTTTTTTTTTTTTTTATTTAAATGAAGACCTTAATTGTGCAAACCCCCAAGAATGTATGCCTGAAAGCGAGCTGACTGATTAGACCCCTGAAACCTTAACCGTCAGACCCTGGGACACCTTTTAGAACACAGACTTAAATATTCATTGCTCTGATATTTATTCCTCCTACAGGGAAAAGCGGCTATTGTGATGGTTCCTGTGGACAGTCGTTCCAGACACAGCAGGCAGCCTCCTTAAAGCATGGCTTGGCCGGTGCGGTGGTTTATAATCCCAGCACTTTGGGAGGCTGAGGCAGGTGGATCACCTGAGGTCAGGAGTTCAGGACCGGCCTGGCCAACATGGTGAAACCCCATCTCTACTGAAAATACAAAAAATCAGCCAGGCACGGTGGCAGGCATCTGTAATCCCAGCTACTCGGGAGGCTGAGGCAGGCGAATCACTGAAACCTAGAAGGTGGAGGTTGCAGTGAGCCGAGATCATGCCACTGCACTCCAGCCTGGACAACAAGGAGAGACTCTGTCTCAAAAAAAAAAAAAAAATGTCACTGCACCTCAGGGTATGTGAAAAGGCTCTTCTTAAGCAAAAGCCATTAAACTCGTTCTGGATTCTTCAAGAAGCAAGTCCCTTCTGAAAGCTTTGGAGTGTTATTTCCAGCAGGGTACTAAAAATTGCTTCAGAATGCCTTTTTTATAAACTGTAATTTAATGCTTTCCCCGGCATTTATTAAGGGTGAATGAGAAAAGCAGCTGAATGAGTAATGTTTCTGTTTCATGCATTAAGTATCATATTTCTTTTCTTTTTTTTTTTTTGTTTTTGAGACAGAGTTTCGCTCTTGTTACCCAGGCTGCAGCTCAATGGCTCGGCTCACCAAAACCTCCGCCTCCTGGGTTCAGGCAATTCTTCTGCCTCAGCCTCCCGAGTAGCTGGGATTACAGGCACGCGCCACCATGCCCAGCTAATTTTTTGTAGAGATGGGGTTTCACCATGTTGACCAGGATGGTCTCGATCTCTTGACCTCGTGATCCACCCGCCTCGGCCTCCCAAAGTGCTAGGATTACAGGCTTGAGCCACCGCGCCCGGCCAAGTATAATATTTCTACTGTTTCCTCAAAGTTCAAAATGCAATACCCATGGGATAAAATAACTCTAGACTTTGGGAGTAGAAAACTATTTCTTTCCTTCGTGGGATACATATTTTTTATTATAAAATAAGGATAACTTCATAACTATGTTTTTTTCTCTTTTCACAATGGCTGCCAGGAAGCTCTCAGACAAATTCAATGTTTAGCCCTTAAAAGAATTTCCTGGAACAAAAAAAAATCTCTCTTCATTTTCTTAAAATTTCCTATCTCCCGGCTCCATCCATGTCCCTGAAAAAAACATGATCTCGTTCTTTTTTAAGGATGCATAGTACTCCATGGTGTATATATATGTACCACATTTTCTTTATCTGGTCTATCATTGATGGGCATTTGGGTTGATACCATGTCTTTGCTATTGTGAATAGTGCTCAGCAAACTAACGCAGGAACAGAAAACCAAACACCACACGTTCTCACTTCTAAGTGGCAGCTGAACAATGACATCACACGGTCACAGGGAGAAGAACAACACACACTGGGGCCTGTCATGGGGCGGGGTGGGGGAAGGGAGAGCATTAGCAAAAAATAGCTAATGCATGGGAGACTTAACACCCAGGTGATTGGTCGATGGGTGCAGCAAACCACATGGCACGCATTTACCTGTGTAACAAACCTGCCCATCCTGCTACATGTATTCTGGAACCTAAAATACAAATAAAAATTTAAAAGAATTCTGATCTTTTTTTGAATCTTCAGTTTAACCTTCCTATTGTATATATGTTCATAAAGCGGGTGATACTGGTTCAGAGTGACCCCCAGCCCATGGCTGGGCAAGGAGGCAATCCAAGGGCCCAGCCGTTTCCACCCTGTCGGGGAGCTCCTGGAATGCACAAGCTTCTCCAGAGCTCTCCGCTGGACTTGCTGAGACTTTGCCAGGGGCACTGTGGCCTCATAGCTCCTCCTGCCCAGTTCTCCTATCCTTGTCACTTCCCAGGGGCTGCCTTCGAGTGAAACTTCTGCACTCCTAACTCGTTCCCAGACCTGCTTCTGGGAGACCCCAAACCTGCACCAAGGACTTACCTGCCGGGGCCTCCCCCAGCCTTCAGCCCCTGCCTTTTCAGTGCAGGGCAGCCCTGCAGGACACGGGCCCAAGTGGGCCACCCTTCTATTTCCCTAACTGCCAAGGAAGCCCGTCCCCCACCCCTCCATGACTCCCTCACTATTTTCTTTCTTTTTATATATTTTTTAGATGGAGTCTTGCACTGTAACCTCGGCTGGAGTGCAGTCGTGTGATCTCAGCTCACTGCAACCTCTACATCCCAGGTTCAAGAGATTCTCCTGCCTCAGCCTCCTGAGTAGCTGGATTACAGCTGCCCGACACCACGCCCAGCTAATATTTTGTATTGTTAGTAGAGACAGGGTTTCACTACATTGGCCAGGCTGGTCTCGAATGCCTGACCTCGTGATCCACCCACCTTGGCATCCCAAAGTGCTGAGATTACAGGCGTGAGCCACCCACTGCGACCGGCCATCCCTCACTATTTTCAATCACTCCTAACAAAGGTCTGTTGGGATTTGGGTTTGGGGTCCTCCCTATTCCACATGTACCCTTTCTGGATGAGGGCTCACAGATATTCTTTTGAAACTAGCAAACACAGAAGACTGAGCTGGAGTCCTGAGGCGGCACCAAGGAGGGGGCTTTCAGGTTGTCAGAGAAGGTGGGGGCACTCTGGGAAGGAAGCAGAAGGACAGAAAGTCGCCTTCTATTCCTGGCACTGGGAAAAGCAAGAGATATTCTGTAAGGTACATGGATGTGCTCTGGTCAAGGAATAGGCCGAGGCGAACATCCGGGCAAAAATGACTCAGTGAGTTTCGGTGTGCAGATGCATACTCCACTTGTTATAGAACCTGTTTGTGTAAGTAACTTGGCTTGGAGCCACTATTGTTTGGAAAGGTATAACTGCCCTGCTGACACTGAACAGGGGCTGTTAGGCATGGTGCCGCATCGCTCTTGCGCAGGCGCTGGTCTCTGGAGAAAGAGAGATAGAACCAGAGCTGTCCATCTTGCAGATGAACAAAGGGGAGCCAGGGCAGGGTTCGGCACAGCACTCATGGCACGGCTCACAGTCCTGCAGAGAGAGAGAGTTAAGCTGCTGCCCCTGAAGGCAAGGGAGAGCTGGATGTGCAGCTGTGTGTGGGAGCAGCTGGCTCAAGCAGCTGAGATAGAATGGACACTGTAAGAGAGCTGCTGATGAGAGAGCTGCCGAGGAAAACCACACTGACCTGCTCAAGGCCCCGCCCCATGCTCGAGTGTTTTTCCAGCTACCCATCCAACTACCCACCCTGCCTGGGGCTCAGTTGGGGCTAGAACCTGACACATTGGTCTGCACGTCTGGCTCTTTCCTCAATCTGGAATGTTTTTTTGACCTTTCTGCACCTGGCTACTCACCTTGTTCTTTGAGCCTCAGCTCAGACACCTCCAGGAAGCCTTTTCTGATGCTTTCCTGGCTGGAAGGCAAGGGAGGAGCAGGCCAAGGAGGGCCTTGAGTGTTTGCACAGGGATGAAGTTCCTGCCCACAGGCCATGGTTGGTGGCAAGACCAATCGTTCTGAGAGCCCCAAAGGTGCCAGGCATGGGCTCAGGAGCTGGGCATATGATGATTAAAAAAAAACCCAGATTGTGCCATCCTCTGGTCCAACCTCACTGTCTTATGACAAACAAGGCACAAAGACAGAACCTGGTGCTTTAATTTGCTGCAAGTGTTCCTTGTGTCCCTGTAGGCGGCACTGCGTGCCACCCAGGTCTCCCTTGCACATGGACAGCTTCCGACGCCCAGCACCTGGGCCTCTGTCTGCAGCTATCCCTGGGCACAGGTGTGTGCTCAGCCCTCAGCAGTTGACACCCCCAGGAGCAGCCCTCAGTTAATGACAAGGCCGATGTTAACAGAGGTATACCTCGCTTCCTTGCAGACACCTGAGCGAGGTATACCTCTGTTAACAGACACCTGTCCCCCAGAGGTGCCTGCGTGGGTGGGTCCCTGAATGCCCACAGCTCCTGCTCACTGATGAACCTCAATGGCTCCTCCGCTTCCCTGTCTCCCCTCCCAACTAGGCAAGTGATGCTTCCTCAACTGCATCCTCGGCTTCCCTGTCCCATTTCCCAGCTGGGAAGTGATCTTCCTCAACGGCATCCTGA